GCTTCTCATCTTAAGTAACTGCTGTGAATCTGGTGCATCTGGATTTGAGCAAAAGACTGAAGTGGATTCTCTGATGAATATCAGTAGTCTCTGAATACAGTCAGGAAGGATTTGGGGAAACATCTTGGGATGTTTTATCTCTGGTATTCAAGAGTCTTTGTGAATCAGCATGCCTGGTCATACACGGTAACGGACTTTCTCATACTTAGTGCTTGTTTGGCTTTGCAAGAGGGACAAGGCTCTTATTTCCAGGACTTCTCAACTTTGCAGGATCTCAGTATTTGCTCTGGGTATGGATAGTTCTGCTGAAGATGAAGTATTTTAGAGAAAATGTTTTTCTGGTGGCATGGATTTTGCTTTCCCTTTATTTTGGAAGCACACACGTTACGGATATAAAACCATGACAATTTATTGAGAGTTTTACTCCCCATCCTGAAATTTGATTGAAGACTGTGGAAGCCTTCTCATGGAAAAAACCTCGACACATTTGTGTCTTGTAACTTATTGTTGTATCTGTCTGCATCCAAGAGTGAAGTAATCATGCCGCAGCATCTTAATAAGGAAAATATTTCATTGCTGTCAGGATACAACTTTTGAATTATTCTCTCAAGAAAAAGGTTTTTATAAATATATACTCTGTTTCACTCTGTTGGTCTTAAGTAAATAGTGCATTGAAATTGCAAATGCATTTTTAATAATTAGCATTAAGGTGAAGAGCATTTTTATATGTTTAGAAATATATTAATAGTGCACGAAAGTAATTACATAGCATATGTTTATTTTCATAGGGGCTTATTATTTTAAGTTGTTCATGTTTTTAAATTTAAAGAATTGTTTTAAGTGTTTAAGCGTTTAAAAGCAGCTTCAGCCTGTAAATAAAATACTTACTCCTTATAAAAGTAGCTTTTTCCTGTCCATAATGTCTTAAATTTTTCATATTTTGTTAATTATTTTTAATGACTTTTACCAGTGGAGAGAGTTCTCTGTGTATATGTGTTTTGTTTTCAGTTTTGGTGTGTTGGTTATTTGAGTTTTTTTGAGACAACCTGAAATTTTGAAACTATGCTCTTCGATTGTAAGTTTTTGCATGTTATTTACCTATTCCTGGATCTCTGTAATGCCCTGTAATACATCTCTATAATGAAACTATTTTGTGTAATTAAGCAAACAGTGAGTTCTGGGGTATGGCAGTGCCAGAATGGCATAAATAGGTATTAGGTAATGAGGTAGCAATAACATAGAATAATTGAGGAGAAAGTAATTGTAATCATAAAACAGAACACTGAACTGCAGATGTCCCTCCTGTCAGTTTTACTGGCATAAAGTATAGTTTAAGCTAATTTGCAGAGTTCGTTTAGGTTTTAATTTTTATGCTCTATTTTATGAAAGTTTATGAATATATATTAACTGACATTTTCTGTTGTAAAACCCATTTCAGAGTTGTAAATTCACCCAGAAGTTTTTATGCCAGTGGTCTGTATCATACAGAATTTTAATGAGAATTTTAAAATTAAGGCATTTTTCAAGAATGTGGACTTTTCCCAATTCTTGCATTTTTGTAGCTTTTAAAGTATTCACCAAATTATAGAACTGTCACTTTCAGCGACATTCAGTCAAGATGTTTGATTTGATAGCAATCTTTATAGCTTCTCAACATATCATCCATGTTCCAGCTCAGTAGAGATGCATTGCAGGGCAGTTCCTGCTCTGAGCTTCGGAGAGCAGAGGGTGAAAGGATCAGTGTCATGGTCATCTGCTGTGGATATATCTGTTAGCCTGGAATTTACCAAAGTGTGGGGCAGACAGGAGGGGTGAAAGGGACAGACAGCTAAAAGTTTAAATATGGGGAGGAGGGTACAAGAATGTAGCTTAGTATCAAAAGGCTTGAGGTGAAGGAGGGATTAAATACACAACCTAAAAAAGGACACCAAAGCCAGAAGCAGGAAACAGAAGGTGGACAATAGCAAAAAAGTAGGCAGGGAAGGAAGGCAGCAAGGGGTAGGTAGATGGTGAGAAGAGGAAAATTAGCAGGTTAGCCAAGACAGAAGCTGAATGAATGAAAATCTTGCCACAGTAGGAACTTAATGGGAAAGGATGTTTGATTCATGAATTATGTGGTCATGGATATGCAATAACCATGATGAAAACCAGTAAGGAAACTAGGAGCAAGAAGCTGACACTGGGAACAAGGCTCAGGGGAGACCTTATTGCTCTCTACAACTCCCTGACAGGAGGTTGGAGTCAGGTGGGGGTTGGTCTCTTCTCCCGGGCAACCAGCAGGAGGACAAGAGGGCACAGACTCAAGCTCTGCCAGGGGAGGTTTAGGTTGGATATTAGGAAGAGATTTTTTTCCAGAGAGAGTGCTCAGGCATTGGAATGTGCTGCCCAGGGAGGTGGTGAATTCAGCATCGCTGGAGGTTTTCAAGGTGAGACTGGATGTGGCACTTAGTGCCATGGTCTAGTGACCACGGTAGGGTTGGACTCAGTGATCTTTGAAGTCTCTTCCAACTGGGTTGATTCTATGATTCTATGAAGAAAGGATAAGAAAGCAGGGAACAGTGGGGATGAGCAGAAATGTTTTTGAGCACTTGGTTACTCGTGTCTGTATGCTGGAGCTGACATGGTTTCCTGCATGAACATTTCTCTATTGCTGAGCGAATAGCTGTGAAATATGGAGGCAAAGTGTGTTGTGCTTTGCCTGTGGCAGGCCAGAGCACACAGTAGATAGTTGCTTTTTGGTATTACTGTGGAGTCCAGCACTTCAGGTGACAGTCTGGTTTGTGGATTTGTTGTTGGTTTTTATAAACTTTAAAATTTTATAAAGGCGCAAGGAAGGATGCTAAAAATAAACCTGAAAGATCTTTAATGTGAAGTTGAGCTTTCCAAAGTTGCAGAACTGCAGGAGCTAATGAAACCACAGACTGCCTCGTGGTTATGCATATGATTATAATATGCTGTTTAAAAATAAGCTTCTGCATATGATCATGTAGATGGCAAGCTATTAAAGATTTTATGGATTACAGAGAGTAGTACAGCTTGTATTTCATAATCAGCATCGAAATATTTGTAGAAAAAGTGTGAAAAATGATCTCTTCAGGTAAAGATATAGGTTTTCTTCCTTGCATGCTTTGTTTGGGCTTCTGTTAGATGACTACTCTTACTAGCACACAGGTTTCTAACAGTAGTGCTATAGAGATGTGTTTTTGAAAGTACAATGGTGAAGATGAGTTGCCTAAAATGTACAAAAAAATGTACATTCTGTAGGCATAGAGCATGTAGAGGGAATTGGCAATAAGTATCTGATTTTAATGACAAATCAGGTTTTTCATCCAGTGGCTTTTAAATGATCTGTAAAGAACTGGTAGGAATGTTGTTAGGAAAGCATGTTGTAGGGAAGAGTTGTTACATTAAAGAAAGAAACTCTGGGACCTAATAATTTAAAGATTTTAAAAAAAAAATCATGTGTGAATTCAAAAAGTAGTATTATTGAACTGTTCCACTATCATATTTCAGATGACCAATGTTCTGTGCCAAAGTGAGGGCAAAAAATGCATCAAGTGCAGGTGTGGATATAAACCTCATGGAGAGGTGACTATTTCCTTCAGGATCTAAAACTAACCTCTGAAGTGATAGTTTAGATTTTGGTTTGGTGGGGGGTTTTGTTGGCATGTTTAAAGGCATTGTAAGCTAAATGGCAGAATCATCTACTATTTTCCGGTTAAAATTCAAAAATATCTCTTGGTTATTTTAGATTGAGTTTTTATATATTACTGTAATTGCAAGGAAGTATTGGGAAAAGTTTTTTTCATTTCTAATGGCTTTACTGCATTTTTTATTAATACACTGTGATAGTACCCAAAAGGATGAAAAAACACCAAGGTTCAGAGCTCACAGATATATTCTGTTTAAAACTAGTGCTAGCACAGTCTTTCAGCCTTCTTCCTGCTGCATCACTCTCACATTTACCCTTCTGTTGGACCTGTTCTAGCCTACATCATTCTCTTATGTCCCTCTAAATATGACCTGCACCCTTCCTCTTTGTAAACAAAATTGTGTTCTGAATTGCACAGCCCATTATTCTTCCTCTTGCAATTCCTGCCTTGTCCTTCTCCTCCTTGGAGTGCACAGTTATATCAGTCCTCTATCACAGACAGCTGCCAGTGAAGTTGGTAGTTTTCTGCTATGAAGCCTTCTACATCTGTAGTATATTAGGTGAAACTATGGTGGTTTCCTTAGCTTTCCATAGACTCATAAATACTTGCTATGGTGTTATGCTTTGCTGTCTTTTCTCCCAAACACTGCCTATTGATGCCCTCCTTGGCCCAATAGACTCATGACTTCCAGACCACTATAATTCGTGGTCTTATTCTTGATGTATATAGTATGTAAGTTTGTCCCAAGTGAAACAAGAGAATGCAGCCTTGTACCTGCTGTTGGTACTATTTGCTCTATTTGTGTGGCTGTTTTCCCTGGTGTTCTATTACCCATTACCAGCTCCTGTACCTTTCTGTCTGTACAGTACCTGTCATCACAGTATTGATCTTTGCAGATTCTTGAGTGTGGTTGACTGTTCTGTGGTTAACTATAGCTAAGTGCTTATTTTGTGAAGTATTCTCTCTCGTGTTGTCATTAGCTGTAGTCCTGTGTGTTTGTTATGGAGATGGTGGGGAGGAGGAGAGCTGTGAATATAGTGCTTTGGGGTTCACTCTTGGAGAATGACTGGGCAAAAGGAAAAAGAGACAGTGTGCACAACCAATTCTGAGGTGCAATTCATGAAAAAGCAGAGGTCCAAATAAATGCATTATTATGTGATTTTATTTTTATATTAAGAGGTTCTGTTGTTTTCAAATCGATATGTTAATTTGAATCACAGTAAGGATGTGTATTTGCTTCATCAAACTACTGCACTTTAAATTTCACACATGCAGTAGTAATCATTCACACATCTTTCTCTGTTTGAGAGATTACACATTTCTTTCTATTCATATTCTTCCAGGTGACTTGGATTATTACTGGCTGGATCCTGCCACGTGGCACAGCAGGGAAGCATCCCCTATTAGTTCGGTAAGAAATAGAAAAAAAAAGAAGAGGTTCATAAGTATGAAGTAAAACGTTTTCTAATTATTTAAGTTCAGCATAGATATTTGGTTGTGAAAAATATTCTATGCAAACTATATGAAATATACAAATTTGCATGCAATTTTGCTTTAGAGGACCATGGAAATCAGAAAGAAAATTTAATTAAAGTGTACAGAATTGCCTGAATTTTAACTTGAATTTAATTCTTTTATAGACATGATACTAGATGTCACTACAAACCACAAAAGTCAATTGTGAGTGTGATGCTGCTTTGGGAGAAATTAGTGAATTTTTCTATTGACTTGGAGTTGGAAAAGATGATTTCAATTTTATTGTATAGTGAAGCCCCATATGGTAGAACTGTGTAACCTGTATATTATTGTAAAGATCAGAATTTCTGAATGCACTTTTCAGGGTCATGTAATGAAAAAGTAATTGTTTAATTTTATTAACGAGGATATGTTTTAAATGTTTAATTGTACTGCACTTTGAATTGTATTAGAATTCTACCTGCAGACTTAGTGGTGAGATTTTCTTACCGGGGACATAAATGTTTAATGCAGCCAGAGTCCAACAGATATAACAGTAGAAAGCTCAAGTGCAAGATGTAACACATCTGATGGATCACCATGTCTACTGTGACATAATGATACAGAAATTTTATGGGTTTATACATGTACATCTAAATACTGGAGGATGGTCACACTTCTTTAATTCCACTGCTTTTTTTTCTAACAGCATCCCGTAACGTGGCAGCCTTCCAAAGAGGGAGATCGCTTAATTGGGCGCGTTATTCTTAACAAGAGAACAACTATGCCAAAAGAATCAGGTGCATTACTGGGGCTAAAAGTGAGTATTACATGGTTCGTGTGCTAATTGAAAGAAAGCTCCACTGACCTTAGACATAGAGGTCTAACACATTAAATCAGAGGACTCTCCAGTCATGTGGTCTTTTGACAAAAGTGTATTCATCTCTTTTAGTAAGTTTTGAAAATTCTAATGCATTCCTCTCTTTTAGTAAGTTTTGAAAATTCTGCAGATAAATATGAATATAAATACATTTACTCCTTCTATGCAGTCTTCCAGTCGTCCATGACAAAGAAGCTGAACCGTTTTGATTAAAAAGGGTATGTTTATACAGCTTCTTGTCTGCAAGACATACACAGCACTTTGCAATACACGAATGGAGTCCTGCCTTGTCTAGCTCTACTGTTGGCAATTCAGTCAAGTAATTCATTTTATACTCCACATACATAAATGTCATCTGGATGCAAATGTTTACAAGGTCCCTACAGCCATTTGAAAACAGAAATTTTGTCGGAAGAAGCTAAATACTTAAACAAAAATTTGCGAAAGGGCCTCTTTAAGAAAAGTAAAGGTTATATTAAATGTAATTCCAGTTCATCTAGTGCCCCAAAACTAAGACATGGGCAACACTGTCCAATTGATTTAAATCCCTAGCTTAGTAATTTGTGGAAGACTTTTAGGTTCATGTCTCTAAACTGCCAGAACACTTAAAAGAAAGAGAGTGCTACTTCTGAAGCTGATGAGGAGTACAGTGTACCAGCTCAAGCATTTCTCTCTCCATGTATATTTTTAAATCTATGGAGCTCCAAAGATGAATGAGAGAATTTAATTTCATTGTCTTTCTCTCTCCACTGAAAAAACCAGAAGCAATGCAAAATATGAAATACTCCCACCTTGAAGTGAGATACTGTGGCATGGTATTAGAAAAGATGAAAGCAGCTTCACTCTACTAGGTATCTAGTAGTCTATAGCAGAAGGCTGATTTTTGTTGGCAGCAAGCAATTCTTTTTGAATATGTGAGAAAAAAGGTTAGTCCTAATAGGAAATGTAGATTGGAGAGCTTCCCTTTGATTTTTCAAGTGTGAGTTTTATGTTATGAGAGCTAAGGTCCTCACTGATAAATTTTACACGTTATCATGTGACAGCATTTTTGGCAGGTAGGCTTCTGGATCTTTTTGAGTATTAAAGCACCAACTAATACCTAAAGGACCAACATTCCACTGTTTCATTTTGTTATAAAACTCCTCCCAGGAGATTCCTGACCAAAAAAGCCCAATAAAAACTGTCTGGAGAGAGTAAGATAGCTAAAGAGAATAGCAAGTCATCAAGACTATGTTTTCTTGGTTTATATATTATTTAAAAATCTAATCTCTTGAGGGAATTTGTTTTCTGATGTTCCAGATCTCTGTATCATGCAGTTGTCTTCAAAACCAGATCTCTTCAGTTCTGTTTAACAAAAGCCAGACACTGCTGTTATATCCTGTCATGTGCTTGGATGAGAGGGCTTGGGTTTTAGCAGTATCAAAATTCCTGTGAACTAATTGCCCATGTTTCATAGCAGTGAATTTGCTAAGTTTTCAATTGTACCAATTGCATTTTGGGATTTTGTAAGCTTGATTTGATGGGCACTTGCAATTTAAATTTGAGCACGAGAGACAATTATTTATTAAAAGAACATCTGCTTTGTTGTTTAATAAGTGTTCTTTCTGCAACAAATGTAGATACTTAGCAAACTGATTAAGGTTGATTAGCCAAACACATTGAAAGTAGTATCAGTTTTATTCAGTGTCAGCTTTACTTCTTTTTGTCTTTAAGCCTCTGTAAAACCCTAAGTGACAATAGGTTTGCTTATGCATATTTCAGGTTAAATTTTTGAAATAAGGCGAAAACTGATCTGTGCTTGATATGATGATGTCTTGTTTGTGACTTGGAGACTCACAGATTTATGATTAACCAGGTTGTTGGAGGAAAAATGACAGAATTAGGACGACTCGGTGCCTTCATTACCAAAGTGAAGAAAGGTAGCTTGGCCGATGTGGTGGGGCATCTCAGAGCAGGTAATTCAACCAGCTGCTTATAAAATATATTGTCTTTTAATAATGACCTATTGAATGCAACTTTTAATTTATATTAACATTGGTCATGTGATATGCTAATATTTTTAAAATACAGAACAATCCTGTAATGTTGTTATGAAATGCCATAGTTGCCTACGTTTCTAATTTGTTATTAACTCCAATTGCTTGGATGTATGAGCAAAATACAAGATACTCCTAAGCAATGCTGGTGTCAGGACTGAGTGTCACTGCTAAACCTTTGCTTCTTAGCTCAGGAGCTGCTTGTTACATTCTACAGAAGCAATGCAAAATATTTTTTTAAAAACTGATTGTGGCAAACCAAACTCACTACAGTTACTCTACCTGTACTATAGTGTCACCTGAAGGATTATGCACTGTATACACAGTGGATTTTATTAGTGCTCCTTTCAGTGTGACATTTTACATGTAAAAATGGAAAACAAGCCAAGAAAACGATCCTAATAATCTCTATACCTAATGATCCTAATGATCTGTATAAGATGGATATATTGCTGTGTATGTATAGTGCTGTTGGCATTTTTCAAGCTTCTACATAAAGTGAGAACTATGCACAGTGGTTTGTTTTCAAAGCTACTTCTTAATGGTTTCTATTTTTATCATGGCTCTAAGCAACTACTTTCCAAGTGTTGTCTTACCAAACCAAAGTCTATGAAGTGCCTTAGGAACCCACAAGCTCCAATGACAGTTTGTATGAATCTAAGGTAATTGTGTGAAGCAGATAGTAATAAAGAAGTGGAAAAGATGATGAGGCTCCAGAAATATCCTGCTTTGTTTTGGCATTTGTTAATTTTTATTACCAAGTCAATGTATGTGGGGTTGATAGCATCAATTATTGTAGTTGTTTCTGGATTTTAAATTCAGATTATAATTACAGAAAATAAGTTTCATTCCACGAATCACAAACTATTTGGGCTGAAATGCTAAATTCCTAGTGTCTGGTCTAGGTTTGTTTTGTTTTGTTTATAAATCAAACCTGGGTTTTATTTCTAAAAGTAGTTTTAGAGACAGAATTATTTTTCAGAGAAAATACATTGTTTTGCATATGTTTTCAATGAATGAAAGTTCTATTACATGGGGCTAAAACACACACACACACACGCACAAAAAGCATGGATGAGTCCTTGCTGTTAGAAAAACACTTTTGTCCTTACAAAAAACCTCCAAAGTTTGTCTAGCTGATAGATCTCTGAGTAATTGTACAAACCTCATAAATTTTAATAACGGCAAATATGAAGTGCTGTATCCCAGTGCAACAGTAAGCACTAGGAGCCAGTCAGCTTGGCAGAAAAGTATCTGGAGGTGCTGGAGGACAGTCAGCTGAACATGAGTCAGCAAAGGATCTTGCAGCAAATGTCAGTCATGTGCAGGGCTGTATTAGCAGTGCTGTAGCCAGCAGAGTGAGAGAGGTGGTTGTTACTCTCTACTCAGTGTTTATGAGGCTGTTGGATTTGTCTAGTACAAGAGAGATACTGACAAACTGGACCAGGTTGGGCAGGGGGAGAGAAAGTTAGTTAAGCATATGGTGTACATGAAGCTGAGAGAAATGGGTGTGTTCACACTCGTGATGAAAAGACAATTGCAGGGTGTCACTCTTGGTTTTACCTTGCTAGTGGGAGACAGTAGAGATCCAAGAGCTGGACTGTTCTCAGAGGTGCACATTGATCACACAAGAACCAACATGCTCAAGACAGAGTGAGGGAGATCCTGTTTGTGAAAACACT